ACAAAAAAAAAAAAAAACGGGGGGGGGGGAGGAAGATTTAACAACCACAACTTTTTTTTTTTAAGTTCTTACAACAAGAAAATGGAGGGGACACATCTGGGTGGGAGGGGGGAGAGGGAGGAGGGAGGGAGGTTTCGGTGATGGGACACAATAACTAACTACATTGTATATTGACAAAATAAAAATTTAAAAAAAAACACCTACTTATGATCTTATCATTAAAAAAAAATAATAATTATTATTATTTCCAGAGGTTGAGAGGCAGATATTTCCAAAATGGCTGAATGATGCACTCAGCAAATACTCTTTCCAAAATAGCAACAATAAAACCGGACAAATTTGTTAAAAAAAACAGTCAAGCAAAGACTCTGGAAATTGACTAGAGGCATCAAACAAAGTGAAAAGCATTTATTCACAAATATTTCTTGAACCTCAGCAAGGACAGTGAGAGGCTGTCACATTTTAACCTGGAGCTGTTCCCATCATCTACCCAACTCTATGGCCCCAAAGTTCTGGCAGGAAAGGGCAGGTCATAAACATCAGCAGGCTGACTTTATTCAGAACAGAACAGAGAAAATTCCGAGCCTGGGGAATTGTCCAAAACAATAACAATCTCAGTGGCAATAACAGGAAAGGCCAACATCTCAGCCTGCCTGAGATCTACATACTTGAAAAAACCAACAAACCTGTAGACCAGCCAGAAATTCAACAAGGAGATCTGGAGAATAATACATCCAAAATGGGTCTTGATAAGATCCTACATTCCCTTCATGATCTGGAAATCTGTGCACATGTGCAAGGCTAAATACACTAGCAAGCTATTCATTTCGGCTGATCATGAGGCCCTGCAAACACAGAAAGCAAAAGCCAAGACAGACTTGCAAACTGCCTGAATGAATGCATTCTCCGAGCCACACACATCCTCCAGCAAATGGTGGAAGACTTAATGGCTCAAGGCGTTTAAGCACAACCTCTAACCAATCATTGTCTAACCAATAAACCATGTTGACCTCTAAGAAGTAATGCTTAAAAATGAAAATAAAAATTTAAAAATACTGTGCATGACACTGAAGGTAAAGAGACCCCACAGAGTTAGTCCAGGTAAGTCACTGAACAAATAAACAGCAACAACAACCACACAGAAATCTTGAAAGCAGCAAGAGAAAAATAATTCATCATGTACAAAGAAACCACAAAAAAATTAAGAGGTGACTTCTCATCAAAAATAATGGCTGCCAGAAGGCAGTAGGATGACATATTCAAAATGCTGAAAGGGAAAAAAAGAAAGAATTATCAACCAAGAATTATATATCCAGCAAAATTGTTCTCCAAAAATGAAGATGAAATAAAGATGTTCCCAGGTAAGCAGAGTCTGAGAGAATTTGTTGTTACCTGCCTTACAAGAAATATAAAAGCAATCTTCTGAGGCTGAAAGAAAATGACACCATACAGTACCTTGAATCCACATGAATAGCCAAAGAGCACCACTAATGGTAATTATATAAATAATTATAAAAGACAGTATATTTTTTTCTTTTTTTCTCCTAACTATGTAAAGATATTTGTATACAACAATAATTATAAAATTGTATTGTGGACTTAAGTATAGAAGTAATACATATTCCAATAATAGCACCAAAGGTGGGGAGGGAATGGAGCTGTATTAGACTAAGGAAGTAACTGGGACAGTAACTGGAACCTCAAGAAGAAATGAAGAGTACTGTATTAGTCCGTTTTGTGTTGCTATTACAGAAATACCTGAGACTAGATAATTTATAAAGATCAGAAGTTTATTTGGCTTATGATTCTGGGACAGATCTTAGACTGCTTCTACTCATGTTGGAAAGTGGCAGGCAGCTGGCAGGTACAAGCACATCACATGGCAAGAGGAAGCGAAGGGAGAGAGAGGAGGTGCCAGCGTCTTTTTAAACAATCAGCTCTCACAGGACCTAATAGAGTGAGAACTCACTCATTAATCCCCCCTCCTAGGGAGAGCATTAATCCATTCATGAGGGATCTGCCCCCATAATTCAATCAGTTTCTAACACTGCCACATTGGGGATCAAATTTCCACATGAGTTCTGGGAATGCATCCAAACTGCATCAAGTATCTAGGAAGATGAGAACTCACTCATTAATCCCCCCTCCTTAGGAGAGCATGAATCCATTCATGAGGGATCTGCCCCCATGATTCAATCAGTTTCTAACACTGCCACATTGGGGATCAAATTTCCACAAGAGTTCTGGGAACACATCCAAACTCCATCAAGTATGTAGGAAATATGTGGGTTAATAAAAAAGATTCTATATATATATTATATATATATATGCTTTTTGCCTTTCTTCTTTTAACTTTTAAAAGAGATATTCTAAAAAGCAATAATTAAAACATTGTATTGTTGGGTTTACAACATATATAGATTTAATATATATGACAATATGGCAGAAAAGAAGTGGAATGAAATTAAGCTATCATGAAGAAAAATGTATATGTCTGACTGGAATTAAGTTAATATTATTCTGAGTTAGAGTGTGATAATTACAAATGCATACCAATTTAATTAAAAAGAAGGCAGTAAAGGAGAAAAGGAAGAGAAAAAGACACAAGAAAACAGAAAACAAACAGCAAAATGGCAAGCATAAATCCAACCATATGAGTAATAACACTAAATGTGAATGGGTTAAATACTTCAGTCAAAAAGCAGAGATTATCAGAGTGGATAAAAAAATCCAATTAGATGTTATCTACAATAAACACACTTTAGATTTACAGACATAAGTAGGTTGAGAGTAAGAAATGGGAAAAATATATACCATGCAAACAATAACCATAGGCAAGTTGGAGTGGCTACCAATGTCAGACAAAATAGACTTTAAGTCAAAAATGTTACTGGAGTGGGCCGGCCCGGTGACGCACTGGATAGTGCGCCGCTTGGGAAGCGCGGCAGCGCTCCCACCGAGGGTTCGGATCCCACATACAGACCGGTTCCCGCTCGCTGGCTGAGCGAGGCGCGGGAGCAACACTGAGGCTTGCAATCCCGTTGCCGGTCCCCGGTCCGGTACGGGGGCAACACTGAGGGTTGTGATCCGTTGCTGGACACGGAAAAAAGACAAAAGACAAAAAAAAAAAAATGTTACTGGAGAAAATGAAGAACATATTATAATGATAAAAAGGTCAATTCATCAGGGGGATTGACAATTATGAACATACACACACCTAACAACAAAGCTCCAAAATATATGAAGCAAAAAGTGATCAGATTGAAGAGGAAAATGGACAATTCAACAATAATAGTTGTAGGCATCAATATTGCACTGTTGATACTGGGTAAAACAAGAAGACAGAAAACCAGTAAGGATTTAGAATACTTGAATAACACTTTCAAACAACTTGACCTTACTGACATAGAACACTGCACAAAAACAGCAGAACACACGTTCTTCATGAACACATGGAGCTAAAACTAAAATTATAGAAGAAAATCTTCATGACAAACCACATTTCGAAGTCAAGTAGAAACTACTTTTTCTTTTTTGTTTTGTTTTTGCTATTTTGTCTAATCCATGTCTTGGGCTATCTTTGCAATTGTTCACATCCATTAGCATGAAGACTGGGAAAGTAATTTTATTAACTACATCTAATATGTGTAATTTGGTTTTGAGTTCCTCTAAACCTATCCACGAATTCTGGTATTCCCAAACCAAAATGAGACAGAAACAAACATATAACTATATATACCAATAACAGGCATATACAGATGACCTCTATGAATAAGGATGAGATGGATACCTGGAGTTATCTCATTAGGCTAACAAGCAATGTTAGGGCTGGAGTATGTCTGTGACTGTGGAACAGTTTTAAACTGTTTGAAAATAAGTCATCATATGCCTGAACTTTTTCTAAGCATGAGGTACAAACACATGCACAAAAAGATCCGTGTACACATGCATACCATATGGGAGGTTGATCTATATATTTACCATCCATTCAACATGATCTCAGATGTGTGGCAAATCAGAGAACCTTCCACACTACTACCAGCAATCAAGAGAAGCCAAATGCTGAAGATACTTGAGTCTACTGCTGCTCTCCCCAAGCCACATCACCTCATCACCTGCCAATGACAACACCAGACCTTTCTGGTTCCATATTCTCAGGGTAGAAAGAACTCTTCTCCAAACCTCCAACACTAAAACTAAGCTAACTTATGTGGAATTTAAAAATCACCAAAGTGTCAGAAAATATAGAGTTTGGAATTTAACAACCAAGTGACTCTAAGGTGAGTGAGCAACAAAATACTACTTGGCATCACTGTGAAAAAAAATAAAAATGTAAGAGCCGGTCTTTGTAGACAGTCTGATTTAAAGAGCCACAGGAGTTGACCGTACCGTTCTATCACTGTGACATTCTCATTCTTGGAGACGTTTTGGGCTACATAACAAAGATGGACATTATCTCTAGACCTACATTAAACTAACTTCTTAAAACGTCTGTGAGGAATACACCAAAATGTAAAGAGAAGTTGTGTCCGGGTAGTGGGATTTTGAGTGTTCTTAAGTATTTTACACTTTTTGAAATTGCAACTTTTGTATAATGATCACACATCACATTTGCAACCAGAAAAATATATTTTATTCTTCAAAAATTAACAAGGCTACCTAGAAGGGAAAGGAGAAACCATTGTGTCTCCCTTATACCCCTGGAATAAATCCAAATCTACTTCACACTCCAAATGACATCTTTCTCAGGACATGCTGATAGAGCTCAGGAAGTGCACAGCTCCTGCACATAGTATATTCCATACGATTTGCTAAGTGAACAGACAGAGCAAGAATTAGAACACAATGAGATCTGGAGGTTAGGGATGTGAAGTATAAACAGGTCAGTCTCTTTAAAGGACTCAGAGACAGCCATAAGTTGCACATAAGCTCTGGAGCATGGAAAACTGATGCAGAATGACAGTTCCAGACTGAGGGATACACATGGCAAATGCCTTCGAGAGCAGGGACTAATAATGAGAACAACAAAAGACAAAGGGTATGGTTGACAAAGTTAATCCCAAGAAATTAATAATTGGATGAATAGATTGGTAAAATGATTATGACTAAGGAAGAGAAAATGAAGAGTAAATTTGATTTCTCCCTCATCCACTCCCTTCCTCAAATATTGAATGCCCATAAAACCCTCCCTTCTGCTCATTTTATATTTGGACCCAGTCCTCTCACTTGCAGAAAAGGTTGGAATAAGCCCTAGATCAGCAGGTCTTGGGGTATCCGGAATCCATGGCTCCTGACCTTGCTCCAGCTGTGAGATCGGCTCAGCTTTAGAAAACAGGAATCCTGCTGGATCAATCAAAGATAAAAAACATTTCATACTGAACTATTGATTGCTTTTGTTCCCTATATTCTCTGCACCATAACACTCTAAAAGAAAGAATTCAGATGACCATTCTTCAACTTGTCTAACCCTGTCTTTTGAAATACCACCCCTCCACCAACTTATGTCCATTTTCATACATCTTACATACATGTAGTCCATTTTATCTCAAAACTCTAGAATTTCTGTTCATGGACCATAAAACAAAATGCCATGGGCGATGAGTCTGACTGCAAAGGTAGGCTGGGGCTGTGCAGTTCATTCAACTTGTCTGACCCCAATCTTTGTAACCACATCCACCCTTTCATGTTACCCTAAGCTAACTAGGCAGACTGGTCTATTCATCATCATCCACTG